AGTAATCAGATAAAGGCAGGAAAACCTGCACATCACCAGCTGACCAGTCTCAGATGGACAGTTTGCCTGTGTTCTGTCTGCACGGGCATGACTATGACTTTACCGCACATGCTCGTAATATTGCCTTGTTTCCTGCTATAATATTTCTTCTTGATTCCCAAGATAGAAGTCACTATATCAGATGATCCTGGTGTCTTATTAAGGGCTCTGTGGCTTCTGGGGGTTCTGTAGCTGGAACATCCTTGGGAGTCTGTTTTGGAAACTGAAGGCTCCCAAGCTGGTGGGGAAGGGTATGGCAGAGACATGTTTGGAGGACAAAGTCCTGGCCTTGCCATATCCTGGCTGTGTGATCTTAGAAGAGTTTCTTAACCTCTCTGGGCCTCAGTTAATTTCCATATAAAACAGGAATGATACCATCTACCTTGGAGGGCTCCTAGTAGGATTAAAGGAGATGACTGTAAAATTTCCTGGTACCCAGTAGCTGCTTACTAAGTGCAGCTCTATGATCACTTCTTTAAGCAGCTGTCCCTTGTGTATTTCTGAGCACCTATAGCCAGGCCAAGTCCCGTGCTAGATATGGGTAACAAAGAGGTGAATTAGACCTGGAACTCCTCATAAACAGGCCTGGCAGCTATGAAGTGCAATCAAAAGACTGGNGTACCCAGTAGCTGCTTACTAAGTGCAGCTCTATGATCACTTCTTTAAGCAGCTGTCCCTTGTGTATTTCTGAGCACCTATAGCCAGGCCAAGTCCCGTGCTAGATATGGGTAACAAAGAGGTGAATTAGACCTGGAACTCCTCATAAACAGGCCTGGCAGCTATGAAGTGCAATCAAAAGACTGGGGGATTATTTCACTGGCAAGGAGCATCGCGAGGTCAGGGATGCTACCTAACTCAGCCATCCCTGCTGGCCAACGGGGACATGTCATCACAGCTGCTACTTTCCGGTGGACAAGAACTCACAGCCATACTGACCCAATTTGGTATATGCTTGGTGACTTCTGGTTGCTCCCCCCAAGTAGAATAAAACACACAAGGAAAGCAACATGACACCTCCAAAGCCATCCGATCTGTCACCACTGCCCACTTGAAGGCCATCTCCCAAAAGGGGCTTTGGCAAGTGGCGGGGTATGGAACAAATGTGCGCATGTGGGAGGGGGCACTCTAAAGGGGATCGCTTCCATGCTGTTAAACACCATCTGTTTATTCCCTCAGTGGTGGAATTTCCTGGAACAACACAAAGTGGAGGTCTGAGCAAGGTTCTCTGGGTTTCCAGAGAGAGGAGCCTGGTGAAGAATCCCGGAAGGAGGATGCCTCCTCTGCTCAGGCTGGGGATGAACAGGTCCTTTGCAGACCATTTGAGCCTGGAGGGGCAGCCCCGAATAAGCCAGGTCTCTGTTACTTAGAATGCTTCGGGCAGGCCCTGCCTGCCTCTCCCCTCCACACCCGCTCTCCCGCCCCGGACGCACCCACCCCTCATTCCCGCCCACCCACAGCTGCCCCCACACAGCCGCCGCATGACGACATCCTGGCTTAAGCCCCCTCTTCAACAGCCCCTCTGAGGCGCTATTTGCAGAGGCCCCCCTTTGGGGGCTTGGGGGCTTCGCACACAAGTGTCTGATTTTATAAAGAGAGAAAGAGAAGGCACAGCAGGTGCCCCCACTTCCCTCTCAGCCCCACCCAGCCCGGCCAGGGCTGCCGGGGGTCTGTGCCTGTGTGTCTGCCTGTGAGCGTCATCTGCATCTGCCGCCTGGTGACAGGGGCCTTTGAAGCTCCACAATGACGCCATCTGCCAGGGACAGCCGGCGGGCTCGCGCAGGACTGACCCCACGGTTGCCGTGGCAACCAAGATGGCAGCACGGGCCCGCAGAAAACCCAGCAGGCTAACCATGTCAGGAGGTACCCTGCGGAATGGTCCCCGTTCAGGTGGAGGTGGGCAGGGCAGGGGTGGAGGAGCGCCTCCGTGTGATGCAGGACAGGTCTGTGCCTTGGGGGCCTGGGGGACCTCCAGCTCTCAGAAGTCCTTTCCCATCAAAAGAAGCCACAAGGCCTTCACAAGACACGCTGTGTGCACACACTATTCCCTTTGCTGAGACTCTCTGCTTTGCTCACCAGCCTAGAAAACGCCTCCTCACCCTGCGAGACCCATCCTGGGGTGTCCTTCTCTGAACTCTCCAAACAGAGGAGAGTCTTTGTCACTGGGGTGCCTCGTGCACGTCAGAGCCCCGGCCGACCCCAACTGCAGCTCTGCACGCTCAGCCATCTCCCGGACCTGCTAGGAAGCAAGCTGAGGTCAGAGACTGTGTCTGGTTTACTACCCCTGCGGCCCAGCACAGGGCCTGGCGCATGGTAAGGTCTAGCAAATATTATTTAGCAAATAAATGAAGTCACTTCACTTCTCAGCCACTTGGCAGGAAATTTCAACACTCAGAGCCTCAGCTGTCAGGAATGCAGGAGCAAACAGAAAGCGGGCCAGAAGAGCCTCCTTGACCCCATGGTGAGGTGTGGGCATGCTCGTTTCTCCACCACTGTGGAGGCTGCAGACCCCAGGGCCTCTGAGATGCAGACCACATCTGCACACAGGTGAACTTGTGTCCTCACTTCTGTCCTATTCTGGGCGTGCAGGAGGAGTACTGGCTGAGAATCAGTGTCACGACCTAACTGCCCCCCACCGGGGGCCTTGGGTAGAATCACTTGCTCAAGTTCCCTAATTTGGAGCCAAACGGTTAGTGCATACCCATCCAAAGTGGCTGAGCCCATTCACATCAGAGAATATACATGGGTCCTCCTGCTTCACATCCTCCCAGTCTTTACAGGGCAGGCCTATCCTTCTACCAGTCTGATAGGACATGGTTGGGTCTTGCTGTTTTGAATCTCATTCCTCTGGTTTCTAGTGAACCTCAGCATCTTTCCATTGTCAGTGTGGTCTCTTCCGTCAGCGGTCAAGTCCTCACCTATTTTCTTTTTGATGACTTAACTTTGTCTTATTGATCTGTATGAATTTTATCTTTTTTGGCCACACCATGTGGCTTTCAGGATCCTAGTTCCCCAATCAGGGATTGAACCTGGGCCCACAGCTGTGAATGAACTAAGTCCTAACCACTGGACCACCAGGGAATTCTGTGTAGGAATTTTTTGACATATAAATTCTGAAGCATACCTCTTTCCTGTGCTGTGCTTAGTAGCTCAGTCCTGTCCAACTCTTTGTGACCCCCATGGACTGTAGTCTGCCAGGCTCCTCTGTCCATGGNTCCTTCTCCAGGGTTTCTTCCCAACTCAGGGATTGAACCCAGGTCTCCTGCATTGCAGGCGGATTCTTTACCAGCTGAGCCACAAGGGAAGCCCAAGAATACCGGCACGGATAGCTTATCCCTTCTCCAATGGATCTTCCCAACCCAGGAATCAAACTGGGGTCTCCTGCATGGTAGGCAAATTCTTTACCAACTGAGCTATCAGGGAAGCCCTCCCCTGGAGTAGGACATGGCAGCCCACTCCAGAATTCTTGACTGGAGAATCCCATGGACAGAGGAGCCTGGTGGGCTACAGTCCAAGGGGTCGCGAAGAGTCAGACACAGCTTAGTGACTAAATAGCACAACCTCCTTCAACTGCAAGGAAACTGCAGCTGAGTGTGCTAATTAGAGTTCAACAAGCTCCTCAGTGTCAAATCCACAACAGTCTGACTTTTGAGCACTCCCTAACTCACAAGGGGCTGCGGTGGGAGGGGGTGACCTGCTGTCAGAGAAGGCTGTTTTTATAACTGCAGAGCAGCCCCTTCATGATCTGCTTAGAGTCCCACCAGGCTGTGGGAGGTAGGAAGAGCGGGGACTGTTATTCTTGTTTCATAGAGCACGAGATGGAGAGCCTGTAGCGGCCATCTGGCCTCTCGGCCTCTGAGCATCCAGTTCTGCCTCTTCTAGTAACTGGCCTCTGATTCTTCTGCGGAACCCCACTCCATCGCAATCTTTGTCCTTGCAGTCTGGGTGGGGCTGGCCAACTGGAGCACACCATTCATTTTCCAGGCCACAAGGATGGCATGGGACCTGAGCCAGGCCAATGACAATGCTATTCTATCCAGTACTTGGGGTAGAATTACTGAGGAAGAGGCACTTTCCACTGGTAAATTCTATTTGAAAATGAAACCAGTACCGAGGATAGCAGGATGATGAGAGACCTTTTTCAGTCACTTGTACCTCGATCTAACCATACTTGAAGCCCATGTATCATTCAAGCCAGCATATTGTGGGGTCCTGTCTCTTTTGGATTAATAACAGAGTCCTAATACAGACCAAGTCAGAGCAGGAAATGAAAGAGCCAAGACTGGACACCTAACTCTCTTATTTTAAAGTTCTCTCATTGTTAAAAGTACAAAGAGGTAGAAAGGCAGCTTCCAATCTAAGAAGGAGGGAAAATCACCCCATCTCGTCCACCTCCACTGCCTCTGGGTTACTAAACTTCTCAAGGCCTCCTGGCTGGGGCAGGGCACTGTGACCCCGCTGTTCTGACCCCAAGGACACTTTGAATGGGAAGTCAGCATAGAACAGTTGACAGAAATAGTCAGTACCAAGAAAAGCTGACATCAGCTTGAAACTGCCCCACAGAAAACTGGACTTAGTGGAGACAATGACAAAAAAGAAAAAAGAGAAGAGGTGGAAGGAAAGAAAAAAAAAAAACCTGACAATATCAGCAGCTAGCATTGAAAACCATGCGTGAAATCTTCACTGTAAAACTTACATAGAAAAGGATAAGCTCTGCTAAGAACAATTTCCACCACAATGAAAAACATTGGAGTAAATCGGGAACAGGAACAGCTAAAGAGGGAACTGCTTAAGGGATGGAAATGAATGAGTGGCATTCCCCTCTGGAAAAGACTTTCTTGATGAAATGTCATTGATATTGATACACGTCTGTCGACATTTCTGAACACCCTTGTGTGGACAGGCTGAGCGCCCCGCCCTGCGGGCTGCATCCTGCTTCTCAGAGGCGGCGCCCGCCCACTCACCGTGGTGATGAACCGGTACAGAGGCTGCCGTCTCTCTGTGTACTTGACCGTGATGGGGCTGAGGTCGTAGCGGAACCAGATGGCCGGGATGATGCGGCCCGTGTGGCTGTAGGCGACGTACTCCTGGGGCGGAAGGGGAGAGAATGAGGGGGGTGCGAGACTCAGACTCCAACCGTGTCTCACGGGGGATGTGGCAGTGGGCTGCAGAGGGGCCCCGGCGACCCACCCCTCCCTGCGGAGGGGCCCCGGCGACCCAGCCCTCCCTGCGGAGGGGCCCCGGCGACCCAGCCCTCCCTGCGGAGGGGCCCCGGCGACCCACCCCTCCCTGCAGAGCCAGGCTCCATGGACCCCTCCTCTCACACCCTTTCTCCCAAAGCTCTGCCATCAGCGTCCGGAGGGCCACCACTCGCTGGTGGCATTTGGGACCCCTTTGGCTGCTTGGAAATGGATGGTATGATCTTGGAAGCAGCACCAGAATCAAAATAGAGGAGTCTGAAAGCAGAGCTGTTGAAGGACCACTGTGATGTGGGCCCAGTCTGAGTGAAGGCCTACTTCCCCCCTGCAGCTCCTGGGCCAGGCAGAATCCATCGGTTTATCCAGTGACTGTTCACCATGCATCCCTCCTGTGTGCTGGCCCCGCACTGGGTGCTGGGGACCTCAGGTGAGAACACCTTGCCCCCTCCCCAGGGGGGCCCACAGTCTGGAGAAGGAGGCAGATGTAACAATATCTGCCATACTGCAGCGCTACAAGTGCCGTGACTGAGGGACTCGGAGTGCTGAGCGGCCCGTCAGTGAATGGCCGATCTCCCAGGGGCTTGGCGAGGAGGGGACAGGCTAAGCCACACATGACCTCCTGAGGATTGTATGTGAGAGAGAGATGTGGGGAGGGGGCTTCTTCAAAGAAGAAACACACCCAGCTGGAAAGCCAGAGGGCAAAGCCCACCACCAGACTCCTGGAGAAGGCACCGGCTGGGACTCCAAGGATACCAAGGGGCTGAATTAATTGCATCCACTTCAGAATGCTGAGAACCTCGGGTGACTCTCGTTCATCCACAGCAACTGGAAACCACACTAAAGCCCCAGCCCCAAACGCTAAGGGCCAAGCTCTGCAGCTTCTCCAGGGACAACCTTGAACCTGCCTTCTTTGCCACCAGTCCCCGTGGGTGCAGCCCCCCTCGCTCACAGGGCAGACGGGGCTGAGGCCGCAGAGAGAGCTGGCCCTTTGGGGCCTTGCCAAAGCCTCAGGGGAAGAAGCCTTGGGCAAAACAAGATCAGCTTTCTCCTGGAGAGTTGATGGGGCAGGGTGACTGTCTGGGTCATGGCCCAGAGCTGAGGTACAGAGGAAAATAATAGAACAGAGCAGCAGTAGGTACCATATGCCAAAGCCTTCTTTGCGGGCTCAGTGGTTTTAAAAGCACTGCATCATTTGACAGTGGTCTTCTGAGCCATTTTACACATGAGTACACTGAGGCACGGAATAGTTATGGGATTTGTCCCAGCTCACAGCCCGAGTGAGTGGCTGAGCTGGGTTTGAGCTGGAAGTTTGTGCCACAGCCCACACTCTTTCTGCTCAGATTGCATCCGCCTTGCCCATCTGTTAGATGCTGTCAGCATTTGAGGGTTCCAGTGAGATGCCCGCCAAGAAACAGGATGCCTCCGCCCCAGAGAGTTACACCAGCACATCAGTGCAGGTGGAGCCAAGCAGAGGGACCCCAAGCCACCCAAGAAAGAGTAGCTCCCAGCCTGGCAGACTCAGAGGCCCCCTGTTCAGACTGAGCTAGGTGATGTGATCGAGAGGTCAGGTTCTGGAGCTGGAGAAGTTGGTTCTAATTCCCATTCATCCACTTTACAGCTCCAGGACCTCCTCTCAGGGCCTCAGTGGCCAAATCTGCAAAATGGGGACAATAAGAGGCCCAACATCAGAGCTGTTGCGATGACTGAAAAAGACGGTGGAGTAGAAAGCTGAGCATAATGTCCAGCCCGTGGTCATTCTCCATAAATGATAGCTGCTACCCTTACTATTGGGGCGTCCCTGGTGGTCAGATAGTAAAGACTGCATGCAATGTGGGAGACCCAGGTTCAATCCCTGGGACAGGAAGATCCTCTGGAGAAGGGAATGGCTACCCACTCCAGTATTCTTGCCTGGAGAATCCCATGGACAGAGAAGCCAGGTGGGTTACAGTCCATGGGGTCTCAAAGAGTCTGACATGACTGAGTGACTAATACTTTCACTCTTATTATTATTAGCGCCGAACACTATATCACTTTAAGGGGTTTGGGTGGTCCTGGAACAGGAAAAAAAAAAAGGAGGGACCTAGTGTAAAGGGGTCTTTGGGGATACTTCAACCAATGGGCTTCAAGCATGCATGTCCCATGGCAGGGTCCCCTCCGGGGAAGCTGAGGCTGCCTTGGCTTGAAACCACTGTCAGTGACTCTTCTGAGGGCTCTGACTGATCTCTGCTTCTCCCCAAGGCCCGCCCACCTCCCCATGACACTGGGTGTTGGGGTCCTGGGACATACCCGTTAACCAACGGCCATCCGGTGCAATTCAAGAGCCTCAGGATTTTGGATAAAGACCTTGTGCCCCACGAGCCAGAGTATCTGCTGTGTGCTAACCAATCAGGGTCCCGTGTCTGAAGGACCAGAGCCAGACATACGGCTGTGATGCTTGCAAACCCTAGACCTTTGGGAGAGGCTACCTGCCTACCCTTTCTCAACCAGATCACTCCCTATCTCCCAGTTAGATTTCCTCCCCCTGACTCTGAGATTTGTCTCCCTTCTTTGTCCAGGGCACATGACCCCTTCCGGAAAGGCCCCTTGAAAGCAATCAGAGGAAATCACGCCAGGACGCGTGTCACCTCTGCTTTTGGACAGCAGAGGGCGCAATTACCTTGTTGGCCACCGTGTACTGGTAGGAGTACTGCTGCTTGCCACTCTTGTCTTCGTAAACGGTGGGCACGATCTTCAAGATGTAGTCGTGGGAGGCGAGGGCTGTGGGAAGGACACAGCAGCGGGAGGCAGGGTGATGGGTCATGCCCGGCCAGCAGGTCTTCTTACATCATCTCAACCCTAAACCCGCCTGGTACTGTACTGAGATGGGGTGGGGGGCAGGAGAAGGGGTGAGGGGGGACTGCACGATTTCACCACCAAACCACCCCTGCTCATTTCTCCCTCTGGGCACCAGGAGTGGAAAGACTCCACCTGTCAGGATCTTCGCCCCTGCACTGGACATAGGTAGTAGCCTCTGGAACAATGTCCACCAAAGGCCAGCTGCTGAGGAGGGGGTGCCGGGAAAGGCCACTCTCCAGGGGGTTACTGTTAAGTGAGAAGACTCCAAGGGAGGACGGGGACGCAAAAAGAACAGGAGGACTCACCCCTCTACACGCGTGGACACACAGAAGAGTCTTCTGAGAAGATACCCAAGAAACTACAGTAGTTTTACTTTTACCCTTGGGGCAGGGGAGGCAGGATTTGATAAAAATCACATTTCACTGCACATGTTCTTGTCTGGTTTGAATACTTGTTACTTTTGAAACGAAATGGGTTCAAGATTTTAAAAAAGAAAAAGCCCAACCAGAAGAATGGCATTTACAGATTACTGATTAATTTCTTTCCCTATTTTCAATTAACGAGAGCTGAGTTCTTCCTCCATCTGGCCCTGTGTCCTGTTCCACAGAGACTCTTACGCCATCCCCGCTGGACGAGCGAGGCTGTGGAGGGCAGGGACTGAGCCTTGCTCATCTCGGTGTCCCTAGAACCCTGCGCAGGGCCTGGTACAAAGTGGACAGTGGCAAATGCCTACTGAATGAATGAGCGGATGTAAAGCTGGCTGGTCAGACCCATGAATGGGAGAAGAGATGAATCAGCTTCTGATAGGCATGAGGTAACCGGAATCAAACACTAGGCTGAGAGAATGCTGGCCCAAAGCTGCTAAATACCATCCGGGAAAAATGACATTCCTTGGGCCTTCTGGGCTGTGAGGAGAAGCTCAGAGACCTGGCTACTGCTGCCTTCTAGAACCTCAGGTCAGGGCCCATGCAGCTGAAACAATAGAGATTTAGGTTTGCGGGCTCTAATCCTGGTCTCCTGGCTAAGTCAGTTCAGAGTCCTCGGGCTCATCTTTTGTTAATGGGAAGGGGATGTGGATGGTGTTCACAGCCTCTTCCTGCCAATACGGCATCTTAGTAAGGAAACGGTAGTGCTTCTTTAACTGTCTTGAGACCTGACTCCTCTAAAATTCTGGGAAAAGCCCTGTAGTCTCAGGCTAAGCCCATGAAGATCCCAACATCCCTCTGCTCAACCCCGCTGGTGCTGAGACTGGCCAGAGCACTGCCCGGAATTTAAAAGCAGACACCTGGGCCTCACCCCTGAAGGTTCTGCTCACTGGGGCTGGGGTGGGGCTCAGGATTTGCATTTTAAACCAGGAGCCCCAAGACCACCCCTGAAACACCATGCTCCAAATCCCCGTCGCCCCTGAAAACACCTGACGGGATGAGAGTAAAAAATGCCCCATGAAAATCATAGAACTGTAACAGTTCTATTCAGTCTGTACAAAACACAGGTGACCATAAAGGAAAAAAGTAAAAATCACCCACAAAGCCAGCCTGCCCAGAAAATCATAGATTCGTACTCTCACGTACAAACTACCAGACTTCTATTTATACCTATGTTTGTGTTTCCCTAAACATAAATATAAAATTGGATCATACAGAACCTTCTTCTGAGAACTGAACACTGCTGACACTGTTACAGGTCTAAGACACAGCATAAGGCCACAGCCTTGGCTTCCTCCATCGCCATATCCCCTCGAGCAGTGCCTGCCACGTAGAAGGGGCTCAGTGACCTCTTGCTGCCCGAACACCAGTGAGGTTCTGACACATCACCGCCATGGCTGCACGCATCTCCCAGAAAAGACCACGTACGATGTGCTCAACCAGGCCCCCGGGGCCAGGCACCAAAGTAGTGGCTCATTTTCGCTCTTATAAACAATGATCTAATGACCATTACTTTCCTAAATCCTTGCATACTCTCCTTTCCTTAGCTTACTCTCCTATGAGTAGAACTGATGACTCAGTGACAGTGACCAGTTTTAAGGTCTTTGGTATAATTTGCCAAATGTCCACTGGAGACACTGCACTTGATGACACCCGCATGGGCTCCTGGTCAGAGGACCCCTCCTCGGGACGGCCAGCTCCAAGCTGATCCAGGCATGCCCCATGCCCTGGCGACCCCCCTCCCTCCCCCTAAACATCTCAAGTAAAAATCCAACCACAAATCATGGGGAACCGTAGGAGGAACCTCCAGGTACCCGCCTGTCTCCCAGCTTCAGCCATGAACAGCACATGTCCAATTCTGCTTCATCTCTATCCCACTGCTCCTCTTCCCCCATTTTATTTGGAAGCAAATCCCAGACCTCACATCAGTTCCTCCATGTATACTTTCATGATGTCACTCTAAAAGATAGAGACACTTTCAAAGAAAGCCACCAGAATGCCACCATCACAGCTAGATCATCAACAGAGTCCCTCTTCAGCGTCTTCGACACAGTGGTCTGTGCTCGGGACAAAGAGTGTAGTGGCTCATTTTCGCTCTTATAAACAATGATCTAATGACCATTACTTTCCTAAATCCTTGCATACTCTCCTTTCCTTAGCTTACTCTCCTATGAGTAGAACTGATGACTCAGTGACAGTGACCAGTTTTAAGGTCTTTGGTATAATTTGCCAAATGTCCACTGGAGACACTGCACTCGATGACACCTGCATGGGCTCCTGGTCAGAGGACCCCTCCTCGGGACGGCCAGCTCCAAGCTGATCCAGGCATGCCCCATGCCCTGGCGACCCCCCTCCCTCCCCCTAAACATCTCAAGTAAAAATCCAACCACAAATCATGGGGAACCGTAGGAGGAACCTCCAGGTACCTGCCTGTCTCCCAGCTTCAGCCATGAACAGCACATGTCCAATTCTGCTTCATCTCTATCCCACTGCTCCTCTTCCCCCATTTTATTTGGAAGCAAATCCCAGACCTCACATCAGTTCCTCCATGTATACTTTCATGATGTCACTCTAAAAGATAGAGACACTTTCAAAGAAAGCCACCAGAATGCCACCATCACAGCTAGATCATCAACAGAGTCCCTCTTCAGCGTCTTCGACACAGTGGTCTGTGCTCGGGACAAAGAGCCGTGTGTCACCAGGCGTGGTGGTTCCTGCCCAGAGGTGGTCAGAGAGGCTCTCTCTGAGGTGGTGGCATTCGAGCTGAGACCTGAGCGATAACACGTGGCCCCCAGGGGGACGTGGAGCAGAATGGCACGTGGTGGGCGGCTGGGGACTGGGCTTGGAAAATGAGCAAACAAGAGCCTGGTGGACCCCATTGGTCCCTCCCCTGCTTTCATCAGCAGCCCAGGCGGAGGAAAGCCTTCCTGCCCACACCCGCCACGGGCTCGCATACCCTTCCCAGCCTGATCTTCCTCCAATATCAGGTGGCTGAGTGGTCCAGGCTAACTGCAAGTGGGGGAGGACAGGCCCCTTGGGGGCTTCCCCCACACAGAACCACAATGATGACCCCACCATGTGAAGAAGCATCCCCCTCCATGATAATCAGACATCAGAAAATACAGGTATATACTGACATGCTGCTGGAGGTGGCACAAGTGGGCATGGACCCCGTCGGGAAGCAATACAGTATCGTAAAGCAAATCCCGTAAATATCAGAGGCATTACTGTGGTAGAAACAATAGACGTTTTCCATGAAAAGACAGTCCCTTAACAGAGCGTGGTGGAGCTGCTAGACAGCCAGCCGTGTCTCCATAACCAGTGGGGAAACTACACCAATACAACGACAGGCACAAATATCAGAAAGTAAGCTGTGATCTATGCTGGGAAAAAATGACTTCTGCTCACGGAGAAGGATTCCCAGTGACATGGAGAAATGAGAAGCTTGATTTGTTGGGGCGGGTCATGGAGGGACGTTCCCTTTTGCTTGGATTATCCCAGTTCCATGCTTGGTTTGGCAGCGAGTACAGGCACACCTCATTTTATTGCTATGCTTTACTGTGCTTCAAAAATAGTGCCCTTTTTTTAAAAAAAAACAAATCTGAAGGTTTGTGGCAACCCTGTGTTGTCAGGTGATAGCAATATTTTTAAACTAAGGTATTTACATTATTTTTGAAGACATGATGCTACTGCACACTTAACAGACTGCAGTGTACTGTAAACGTAACTTTTTTCTTTTTTTTTTTTTTAAATGTAACTTTTCTCTGCACTGGAAAACCAAAAAATTCATGTGACCTGCTCTATTGCGATCTTCAGTTCATTGGATTAACTGGGAACCAAACTCACAGTATCTCCGAGGTCTGCCTGTAAATGTACCTCCAGAAATGATTAAGGCCACACGCGTGAAAAGGTGACTCAGGGGAGGAGATGAGAACCGGACCCAGTGGGCAGACCCGCGTAAGCAGACAGGCCTCCCAGGCCGTTCTGGTAAGGCCCCGTGGGTGTGCACACACGCGTGGAGGTGTGTGTGCACACATCTGTTGGTGTGCAAAGACATGGCACGCACTGTAATCTGGGCCCAGGTGCCGGGGAGCCTGGGAGGGAGGGGCTCCGGGAGGGCCGGAGCAGGAGGGCTGGGGTGGGCGGCCGCCCTAAGGCCCCGTGGGTGTGCACACACGCGTGGAGGTGTGTGTGCACACATCTGTTGGTGTGCAAAGACGCGGCACGCACTGTAATCTGGGCCCAGGTGCCGGGGAGCCTGGGAGGGAGGGGCTCCAGGAGGGCCGGAGCAGGAGGGCTGGGGTGGGCGGCCACCCAGGAGGCCAGGCCGGTGCCCCGAAGGCCTGTTCCCACGGTGCCGCCTGCAGCCAGGACGCACTCTGGCTGTGTCAGCACTGCCTGGGGAACCCGGGTGATTATCTCAACCAATAACAATCATGTGGCAGCAATATATTACGAGATGGTGACAATAACGATGACGGCCGAGTATTCACAGAGCGCTGATGGTGTGTCTCGGTCTGCCAAGCCCTCCCCTGCCCTCTGCCAGCAGCCCCGACAAGCCCTTCTCCTCCCTTCTCAGTAAGATGGGCTAAGTCCGCGTCCTCACAGGCCACCTGGGGGGACGAAGCCTGCGCGGTGTGACTCACCCCAAGGGCTTGGTCAACGTTCCCCCCAGCCCCCATCCCTTCCCTGCCGCCCTGGGGAGCTCGGGCAGAAAGCTGTTCCCGGGGCGGGGGCGTGGTACATACGGTTGGAGGCGAGTCTGTCTGCTCCCCCGAGAGCGTTGAAAGCGCCGTGGACGTTGTGGACCTGCGGAGAAGCAGAGTGACCCACAGGACTGACCCCAGGACGCCACCACCTCTAGGCTCGGGCCTGGGCTGGGGGAACGGCCAGGTGCCAGCTGCTCTAGAGACCTCGCCCGCGTGTAAAACGGGGGCCCAGCACGGCCTGTCTCGTAAAGTCCTGGGGCACGAGGCGCAGAGGAGGCACCAGCTTGCTTCCGAGCCCTCGCTGTGAGACGCCCAGCCCTGGCTCCTGAGCGTCGCTCATTTAATGCCTTCAAGGATGGACCACGGGCTCATTTCACAGCAGCAAGCCAAGGCTTGGAGAAGCACTGACATCTGTCCAGTGTCCTGCGGCTGATAAGCGGCTGAGTCCAGCTCAGGTCTGTCTGACTGGGGCAGGTCTGTCTGACCGGGGCTCAAGCGTGCAGGCAGATGGGAAACTCAAGCGCAGGCGGAGGTGGGTCCCAGCACACTCCTCTTGAGACCCACCTCCCTCGGAGAGAGGCCCCGGGCGGCTGGCTCCCACCCCGCCTGCGGTGGGACACAGACAGGAGTTGTGAAGAGATGCTTCCTCATGGCGGCCGGGCTGGCCGTGTGCCCGGGGCAGGGGCTGGAGGGCACCTCCCCCTCTCCTCCGAGGCCAGTGGGAAACCAGGTCAGCCCCCAGGAAGACAGAGCAGGACGAGGCGTGCCCATTACACGGACTCTGTCATGGGCACAGTTAGCAGGGGTGGGTGGGGTAGGCCTCCTGGAGGGCGTCCTGGGGGAAGTGACACCAAGATTTGTAGGAAAGCGGGACGTTAACCAGGCAGGCAGCTCACGCAAACACATAAGCCTGGAGACGGAGAACCAGAGCTTGCCTGGGCATAGAGAGGAATGGATGAGGGGTGGGAAGGGAGGAGGTCATGGAGGGCGGAGGGGACAGGCTCCAAGAGTAAGGGCCACTCCAGGGACAGTGGGTGACCTGACTCCTGATCGCAGCCTCAGGCCACTCATGTCTATCAAGCAAGCACTTAGAACTGCACACTCTCAACAAGGCCAAGGGAAAGTTTGTCCATTGTGCCTCGAGACTAACTAACAACATGGTTTCTAACCCAAGGACAGTGGCTGTGGAGGCCAGAGTGCCAGAATGTTCCCTCACGTAGTCACGTGTCAGGGTTCTATCTGACATTCGTTTGTATGATTATTTGATTAATTTCTGTCCCCCTCTCTAGACTATTCAACACTCCACACAGGCAGGGACCAGGCTCCTCCTCACCAATGTGTGGAACACCCAGCACATAGTAGGGGGCTCAATAAATATTTGTTGAATGGATGCTGGATGATGAATGGGTAGATAAATCCTCAGTTAAGTATTTTACATTAAAAAAAAATCCTATCTCCACCATAAGAAGCAAGTAGAAGGCTATTAATGTCTTTCTGTCCCGCAGCAGCAGACGGCAACGCAAGGCTGCCCCTGCCCTCCCCGTCCCTCCTCTCTCCCCTCCTGTCGCCGTCCCTCCTCTCTCCTCCCCTCCCCCCTCCTGTCCCCTGTCCCTCCTCTCTCCCTCCTCCTGTCCCCTGCCCTTGGCTGGAGCCCTTCCCTCACCTCCCCACCTGCAGTCTCGCCTCTCCTTCCACAAGGCAGGTGGGTGCTCTTCCTATGATACCCAGCTACCCGGGTCAGACCCCACCTTCCTAAATCTCATATGGGTCTCTCGCCTTTCCTAAAACCCAGCTCCCTGCTCCCCGCTCCAGGTGACACTTCTGAACCCTCTCTGCCGACTCTGATGAGCCTCTGGCAGCTCAGGTACAGAGGAACACCGTTCTGATGTCACGGGCACTTGCTGGTCCACTTTTTTTTTTCCCTGAAACTGATCTTGAGGGTCTTTTACATGATGATGACTGGTTGGATGTGCCATAGAGTGGGTGCTCTAGGAGAGGGGTGACATGCAAGATGTCCCCTGTCCTGACCTTGGCCAAATCCTTCTCTCCCTTCAGTGCTTGGCTTAGATGTCATCTTGGATGTCACCTCCTCAGGGAAGTCCTCCCTGACTTTCCAAGCCGGGGAGTACCCTGCCCTCATCTCCACATCACTGCCCAGAATCCTATGCCTCTCTTGTCCCTTGTAATTACATTTATTTACACTTAAGTCTCTTCTTGACTTGAGGGCAAGAATCCACTGCTGTTACCCCAAGGCCTCATGCAAAGTTTGGAGCAGAGCAGAAATTCTGGGGTCTGTTGAATCCATAACTCTCTGAGGCACAGTCAAGGAAGACCTGGGGCCAGACACACCTAGTTTTCAAGCTGTATGCCCCTGGGCAGGTTACTGAACCTCTCTGAACCCGTGTCCTCCTCAGGAAAAATAAACGTCACCCAGCATCCTTGTGGGGGTTTTGTGATGGTTCAACAAGGCTGCATCTGAACACTGGTCCCCAGTGAGAAAGCGCAGGCTGCAGTGCAGGCTGAGGGGTCAACAGCGCCCACGAGGAAGGACTGTGGTCTGCTGCCAAGGCGGGGTTTGGACTCTGGGGTGCCTCCAGGGAGCCTCGTGACCCTGGGCCGTGACTCCGGCCTCAGCCTCCCCATGTGCACATCAGGGCTCACAGTGCCCACCGCCTCTGCTGTCAGGATCTGCCGACCGGGTGGGCAGCTGGGATGCTGCCCGGTGCTCGCAGATGGAGCGTCGTGGGCCCTCCGCCTGCCTGGGGTTGGTCAGCTCCCGTCCCGCTGGGCGGTGAGCACCCCATGCCTGTCTCCACCGCGGCCGTGGGAGCCGCTGTGGGCTGGCAGCATCTCACCCGGCAGGGCCTGGTGTGCAGTGAGGGAACCGCTCATTTCACTCTGAGCCAGGCTTCACTCAGAGTTCAGGAGCTTCACGTGTGTGACGTTATTTTATCTTCACCACGATTCTACGAGCAAGATGCCATTGCTCTTCCCATTTTACGGACGAGATCACTCAGGCTTAGCAAGAATAATTTGTCCGTGGTCACACAGCTAATGAGTGGTGAAGCCAGGATCCGAACCCTGAAAGGCAGGCGGGGGAACCACCACAGAGCAGTTCCTTAAACAGAAAGATGGGAGGCTGTGGGTGTGAAGCCTGTGTGAATTCGCCTTCAGGCAGGGTCCACAGTCCTAGGACAGGCTGTGCTTCCCAGAGTATGTGGACAGTGAGTCTGGCCCAGAGAGACCTTGCCTGCTCTGGTCCAAAGCCTCATCTCCAAGAAGAAAACCTCTGGGGCTTCCAAAGAGCCTGGGAAGGCGCTGATCGACTTGGCAGGACAAAGGTGTCAGGAAAGAAGCAGGAGCAACGAGGAAGGAGAAGTGAGATAGAGCGCGCGGGAGGTGGTCCACGGTGTGGCCCCAGGGCGGACTCTGGATTCAGAGCCCGGCTCTGCACCAGGCTGTACCCTCTCTGGGACAACATCTAGTATCTATCCCTGGGGCTGCTGAGAGGGTAAAAGAGGATGGTGCTTGTGGAGGAAGGTGCTCAGCACACACAAGGATTCAACAAGCACGTGTGGCACGAACGTGTGAGGGGACAGTGGGGGATGCGTGTGCTTGTGGATCTGTATGTAAGACGTTCCAGTCTGGGTGCGTGGGTGCGTGTGTCTCTGGGTGGTGCGTGTATGTGTGTGTGATTCTCTGAATGGAGAGTATATATGTGTGTGTCCAGGGATGACTGCTCTGGTTTGGGGGTGTCTACCAGAACGCTTGCATGCCCCAGTGTGTGCTGTGTAAGACCTGAGTGTGCGCCTATGTGGTGCGTGTTCAGCGTGTGCTCTCAGGGTGCACGCACAACCACATGTGCGTCAGGGCACACCTTTCAGCGTGTGTCTGCTGAGTGTGTCTGCTCATGTGAGCAGACGTGTGTGCACATGGGCGTCATAATGGTGTGTGTGCATGCACTCATGTGCCTACCTGGGCCCCGTGCACACATCATCGTGCCTGGACGGCACCAGCGCAGCAACCTCACCCACAAAACAGGATTGTCATCGAGCCAGCCTTGGGGGCAGGAGCTGGGGTAGCTAGATCAGCGGCGGGAGCAGTTACACCCCCTTCTGAGCCTCAATGCCCCCCTTGTCCTGCAGGGCAGAGCAGCCTTCCCCTTCAGCGCTGTGGTGCCGGGGGCGGAGGAGAGAGGGCGGGATAGCCGCCTGCCCGTGGCCAGCAGAGATCAGGCGGTCAGCGTCTGCCGTCCCGGGGAGGAAACTGCTGGGCCGGGCCTGCCGGATGTGGCCCTTCCCATCAAAATCACAAGGACTGTTAGGACACTTCCTTCACGCCTCCTGAGCAGACGTGGGCAGTGACAGCACAGCCGACACGGCCCCGGACTCGAGGCCGACCCCTGCTGGGGGGCCCGGCTCCCGGCCGTCAGACGCGGTGCCCCGCTCCCTCCCGAGGCCAGCCTGGCGCAGAGAAAGCACCAGCACTGGGGACTTGCCCTTGAAAGGCGGTCCCTTCCCAGGCCCCATCTCAAGCTGAGGCTCCGAGTGCGGTGCGGTGACAGAGCAGCCACGCTCGGGAGGGAGGCGGGGGACGTGTGGTGGAGCAGAGGCCCGAAGGGCGTGGCCCTCTGGAGGGCGTCTCTCGGTGCCCGAGCAGGACGGAGGAGGCGGTGATGCCCTCCTGCACGCACACCAGCTGGGGCCCGCTCACCTGCAGCGTGTCCCCGAAGGAGAGCTTGTGGATGACGTGGGTCATGTCCGGGTTCTGCGGCTGGGCGGTGGCACTGTGTGTGGACACGTGGAAGTTGCCCGGGACCTGGGGGAGAGATGAGAGCTTAGGGGCTAGGTTGGCAGCCCCAGCGGGCGGGGCGCAGGCCCTCACCTGGGCTGCATCTGGATGTGCACCCCAGCTTGGCCGTTTCCCAGCCGTGGGACACGGCTCTCTCTCAGCCTCAGACTCCTCGTCTGCAGAAAGGGGGTGCTAACAGCACCCACTGGAGGGGGCGGCCGGGCTGTTGGGTGGAGGGGGCATGTGAAGGGCCCAGCCGGGTGCCTGGCGAAGGATCAATGACCAAGTCAGAGACGGAGCCGCCCATCATCAACTCCCTGGCTGCTCCCCACTCGGGGGGCAGGCGTGCAGACTCAGGAAGCGTCCTCACACCCCAAACACCACCACTAGCCCCTCTACCTCATCACTGCAGACTGGGGGCCCTTGCAGGTGAGACCGCAGGGCTCCCCTTTCCCCTCTGGTGCTGAGACCCTTCAGAGTGCAGCCTGTGAGCAGTGCTGTGGGATGACTGTCTGCTCAGAGCGGCAGCGGGGAGCCGCCATGGAGCCTCCTGGGGCCTCCCTCCTGCCCACTGCCCAGACCACAGCCCGCGGTGTCACCCTGGCCCTGTCTTCCTCTCACACGGATGCCCCGCCCATCAGAAATGCTGCCAGCTCTGCCCCCGAGATGCCCAGCATCTGACCCCTCCTCCACTGCCTCCCTGGACTGGACGTGGCGGCAGTGTCCCCGCTGGGTTCCCGGCTGCCACCCTTCACCCCCCGGGCCTTCCCCAACGGTGGCCAGTGGGGACCTTTGGATCTTGGGTTTGGTCCCTGCATGCCTCTGCTCAGGACCCTCCAAGGGGTCCATTCTCGAGGTGAAGCTACATCCTCGCGTCCTGTTCTGCCTCCTCCCTCTGGTCATAGTGGCCTCCCTGCTGCCCTGGGAACAGTGCCAGGATAGTACCATCTTGGCCTTTGTGCTGCACGCCCTTCTGGAACCCTCTTCCACATGGCTCTCCCTCTGGCCTCTGCTCCAGGACCCCTCCACCCATCCCCCAAGCCCCTGACGCTGCTAAAGCACTCAGCACCACATGCCACCTTGCCCTCAACTTGTTCTCATCTGTGTCCCCAGGAGAACAGAAACTCCACTGGTAGGGTTTGTGCCTGACCTGATGCTGTATTCCCCAGACCCCGACCCAGAGCAGATACTTAATAAATGTGTACTGAATGAACAAATGACATTAATCCTCAAAACAGCACTTTTGGCTTTGACACCCGGTAACTCCTGAATATTCACTGGAAGGATTGATGCTGAAGCTGAAGCTCCAATACTTCGGGCACCTGATGCAAAGAGCCAACCCATTGGAAAAGACCCTGATGCAGGGAGAGACTGAGGGCAGGAGGAGAAGGGGACGACACAGGAAGAGATGGTTGGACGGCATCACTGACTCGATGGACTTGAGTTTGAGCAAGCTCCAGGAGTTGGTGATGGACAGGGAAGCCTGGCGCGCTGCAGCCCATGAGGTCGCAAAGAGTCAGACACGACTGAGCAACTGAACAACAACTTGTTTTACAGAAAAGGAAACTGAGGCTCAGAGCAGTGAAGAAACTTGCTATTGTCACATGTCAAAACTGGGGCGACTGACCTCAGCAGCCCTGGGCTGATGCCATGTGGAGGCAGCCCTTCAGGACGTGCCAGGCTCAGGGAGATGACCTAGATGAGAGCCGGGCCCGGGATGAGCCCCTGGCCCGCTGTGACACAGACTCGGGACAGAAAATGTGACTGCCTGACCACCCTGGTCCGGAGGGAAGCAAGGACTCTGGGAGCGATGAGGGAAGGCCCTCAACTTATCTGGGGGTGTTCTTAGGGACATGAAGACCCTGTGTGAAGGCTCTGAAGATGAGTCAGGAACAAGGGGGAAAGGCATTTGGGCAGAGGGGCCGGTGTGAACAAGTATGGAGGTCAGAAGCTGCCGGGTCGGTGGGCATGTGTGAAGAACAAGAAGAGTTCGGTATTAATGAACCCGCGGAGACCTGGGGGAGTGGCCGCAGTAGGAGACAGAGGCATAAGTGGGAGGTGGGGCCGCTTAACACTGAAAAACTCAGGGCTTATTTTACTCCAGCTCAACAAAAACTTAAAAAGTTGCACTGGAGGAAGGAATATGGCTTATGGCTTGGCATCCACCAGCCCACCAGTCCATCAAAGTCTGCTTATTTTATAAGCATGCCTACCTCCAGCATAAAGCTGTGGGCTTCCTGCAGCAACATCCCTGTCTTCACTGGGACTTGATCTCTGGACTGACAGGAGAGGTACCAGGCCAACAGAGCATGGCCCGGCCTGAGTCAGTCACGGTCAAGTGTGCTCTGGGCTGCTCGGAGGAGGGGGCAACATGCTGGGCCTGGCTCAGGGGGGACAGGAACAACAGCTCGGCAAGATCTCCCTGGCCGGACAGCGCTGCCCACTTCAGGGACCCAGTGGCAGGGCAGCAGTTGAAGGCCACACACAGCTTCTGGTCTGGCCTCACTTCCTAGCTGGAGGGCCCTGGGCAAGATCAGTACCCACCACCCTGTGCCTCAGTTTCCCCATCAGGAAAATGGGAATAATAACCACAAAGGGTTGTGGGATGGTTAAATGAGACGAGGAATACAAAACTGATGACAGGTGTTACTGGGTTGGCTTCATGCCATGAACACATTCGAGCCGAGAGAGAACAACCCTTCTGGAAGAGAGAAAAAATGTGTATGGGCACAGGGTGGAAATCCTACTGCATTCTAAAAGTGATTTAACCTTCATTTTTAGTTAAATAAATAATATCTAGATGTGAAAGTGAAAGTTGCTCAGTCCCATCCGACTCTCTGCGACGTTATGGACAGCAGCCTGCCACCCTTCTCTGTTCATGGAATTCTCCAGGTGAGAATACTGGGATTGGGTAGACATTTCCTTCTCCAGGCGAGCTCCCCAACCCAGGGATCGAACCTGGGTCTCCTGCATTGCAGGCAGATTCTTTACTGTCTGAGCCACCAGGAAATATGTTTTTCCCTACAAAAAATGTCACGTGATAAAATTAGAACTGAAGTCCCACTGCCTGCTGCCCCCAGAAGTAAGAACCTGATAGCATCCGGCATGCATCCTTCTGAGTTTTTCCAGGCACCGACAAGGGGCCCCCTGTGGGCAAGGCTGTGGGCACGGTTCGGAGCTGGGCTTGGAGCCTGGGCCTCACGCGCCCAGAGTCAAGTGAGTCAAGGAGGCTGGCTCCGCACATCTGCCACCCGCGGCTGCCCCACGAGGCTGTGACTCAGTGACCCACTCCCCCTCGGCACGGAACCCATCACAGGTGGCTGACTCACACCAGCACACGCTGGGCTGAAGAAAGCAGAGACGACGCTTTTAGAGCTGTGACTTAGGAACCGACGTCAGTGTCTCTGATGGGCGTTCAAAACATATAGATGGAGCCAGGCCCCCAAAACGCCAGCCCATCCTGTCCTCCTGGGGGGCTGGGTGATTAAGCAAGGAGTCCGCGTGGCTGGGGGCTGCTTGAAACATGCCAACTCTGGGATCTGGCTGACTTCCTGATGAATGGATAAGGGCCCACGGGGCAAGTGTGAACCTGATGCTGGGAGATACGGGGGGTGGGGGGGCTGCGGACCTCACCGTCAGCACAGCTGCCTTTCTCATCAGAGCACCCCTTGACTGAGCGCTCCAGGGAGGCACGAACCCTTAGCCCTCCGCAGGAGGCTGGCCTGAGCTGTGGCCGAGATGCTGGCTGGGAGCCACACGGAGCAGGGCTGCAGGAGACAGAGCCGGGAGCCTGCTGCCAGGTGGCCGGGCTTCAGATCCTGGCTCCTGGCCCTTTAGCAGGTCACGGAGTACCTGCGCCTGTTTCCTACGCACCACTGCAAGGACCAAGTAAGCTAACGGTGGGGAAGGGGCAGGTGAGAACCCAATAAGCAGCTGCCAAGAGGTGAGGGCTGGTGTGGCCCTGTTCCAGAATCCCAGCCCTCCTTGACCAGAGAAAACCCGCTTCTTGGACGTCATCCCTGCACACTTCATGAGCACACTTGCACCGGAGTGCCGGCAGGTACCAGCTGATGAGATCATGGATACCTCACTGACGGGAGATAAGGCCAGCTGGGGAAGGGCACCAAGACTTGTCCTGTCCCCACTGTGACATGCACTTTACAGATTTTAATTTGTTCACGTCTCACGACTCGTGAGGGCAGTATCACTACCCCCACCTTAGAGACGAGGAAACTGAGGCTCAGAGAGGCTAAAATTGCGGAGGCTTTTAACCAGTGAATGTTGTTGCTAGGATTCTCAACCACAGGTCTATCTGACCCCAAAGGGCAAGTTCTCCTTCAGCCAGAGCCAGCAGGAGACCCATCAGAGCCTGCTGAGGGGAGCCGCCTGTAGCCTTGGGCACGGTTGCCAAGCTGGGGAGGGTGTGGCGCTGGGCTGTGTCCCAGGAGGTCCTCCTGTCTCTCCCGGGTGCTGAGTAAGTGTGCTGCCTCCTGCCCACCATCTGGGGTGTCCATATCTGTGTAACCCATGTGCTCACACCCCTCGCCAGGGAGCCCTCACAAGAGGGATGTGTGTGTGTGTGTGTGTGTGTGTGTGTGTGTATGTGGTTCGTTTGTCTTCATCCATCTTTCCGCCCCACAGACAGGCCTTCTCTGACTCTTATCTCAGTGGGCCTCCTCCACCGTAACACTCATGTCATTCTCTCCCCAGCTGCTTCACGAAGTGACACCCTGGCCTGAGGGTTTGCCTGTCACCCCGTAATCAACCGGAAGTGCCTCCAAGAGCAAGGGCCTCGGTCACTTCTCCCGGCACTGCAACCCAGGGCCAAACGTGGGGCCAGGAACACAGCAGGCTGCATGTGTGAATGAATGAGTGAGCAGGGTGCATGAATGAATGAGCTGGGGGAAGGGGAAGCAACGGCTCAAAGAAGTCAGAATGTGGAAAGGACTGGAGCAACGCAAGGACCATGATGGTGGGGGAGGGGAGGGAGGGTGCCCCCGAGGGGCCCGTGTCAAGACCTGTGAGGC